GTTACATGCATAATGACAAGTTTGCCATCAGTTTTGACAACATCTGCATCGACAATTGATTCGAATGCATTTGCTTCACCTTATCTTGAGGTAAATACATGGGCATGGTTGTATCCTCGATGCATGATGCTTTGATACTATGCATTAAAAGTACTGACTTCTGTGATGTTTTAATTTTCATATGCACTCAGCTAGAGCTTGGATCCTGCTTGGTTGACTGATGAGCTGATGTATTAAACTGGGTGTCGCACAATGTACTTTTGGTTTGCAGGCATGATGAGGGATGATTGCAGCGCAATAGTCGTAAGTGTGGAGATTGAAATAGATGGTTTTGTGCGCTTTTCTTTGTATTCGTCAAAATCCATGCAGATTGGGAACACTCATCAGGAACTCACGTTTGCTAGCAGGATATCAATGCTTAGGGGTAGGTGACCGATTCCTCCAACCCATTCATGCCACCCAATTCACCTACTGTGCAGCAGTCCACCAGTCTTCGACTTCTCCTTCCCCGAAGTTGTTCCTTGAATCGAATGTCTGGTCGGCCTTTGGGGACATTTCTGCTCCCACCACGAGTTATCCACTTCCAACTGAAGGAGAGATAAAAGCAACGAAGTAAGAGAAATGAGTAAATGTGTGAGTGGGTTGACGAGTGAGTGTGTGGCTGTGTTGGTGGATGGGTTTGTGGGTGGGAGATGGAGTGGTGACGAAGTGAAAAGGTGAAATCAAATAAGTGGACAACGAACCAGCCAACAAACGAACGATCAAAGGAGATATTACTTAACCCAAAATGGAACATGTCTGGCGGACTAGAAAGTCGGGTTTCGAAGTGGGAGGAGGAGAAGTACATGAGATGAGTGTACACGCACACTCACGCATGCACATCCACATACACATGTACATTCTTGCCCATTTCCATGCCACAGCAATTAAGGAGACTGTCTGAAAGGACATAAGAAGGTAATAGGCAATGACACGCACATAAACTTAAACGGGCAGACAGGCAGACAGAGATACACTAAAAGAGAGGGGTAGACTAAGGAGGAAGGTGCACCTTCTTCTGAATTATTGGCTACGTTATACCTATTCTGGTCTGTGGTGTATATCCTGCAATCATTAAATCATGAGATGAATGGAACCTGCCAAAAGGGCGTTGGCAGAGGACAGGGTAGGAAGAGGAGATGCAAGAGAGTTGGATTTGGATTTAAGAAAGTAAAGGTGTGGGGAGAAGCCTGATAAAGACAGAGAAGCTAGTTGTTCTGGCGTAACTGCAATGCTAGGAATGGATTAATGTAAAGGAGGCAGGGAAGGCAGGGTATAATGCAAAAGTCAACTCTTGAGAGCATAGGTAGTACTAGGGGAGACGGACATACTCACTGAAGAGGCGCTGAATTGAGGCATTGTGCATTGATCCCCAATATCTACAAGAGAGAAGAAAAAGGCCTCACTGTACGTGGCCTGAGGTTCTATCCAGTCTATTTGGTGTGTCAACTGAGGCAGTAGTGGCATCGCCTCGAATGGTCGAGCATGGGGCTGCTGTAAATTATGTATGAAAGAGCAGATAATCCTGCCCAACCT